TTAATAAGCCAGAGAGACATGAGAAGTGAGCAGGGGCCGTGCAGCTTGAGAGGGACCTCCCAGGGCATGCTAAAAAGGTGCTGTACGTGCTGTGTGCTCACTGGAAGATCAGCCACTTCCTCCTCCATCCTTAGCTCTGTGAAGAGCTAAAGTCATCCTACCGTCACTAATGCATGAGAATTATCAAAGTGCATTGCATACAGTTAAGCATAACCGCTTATTGTTCTGTGAACATTTTGTTTCAGTATTAGACACACATACACACACAAACACAAATGTGTATACACAATGGTCTACTGTACACATAGTTACATGATAAAGGGTTGAAATTAAATTGAATTTCTGTTCTAAAGACTTGTTTGTTTATTAAAAGGGCAGAGTGACACAGAGAGGGGGAGAGATACAGAAGAGAGGGATCTTCCATCTACTGATTTACTCCAAAATTCCTAAACAGCCAGAGCTGGCCCAGTCAGAAACCAGGAGCTAGGAACTCCATCCAGGTCTCCCAAATGGGTGGCAGAAACCAAAGGATTTTAGTCATCATCTACTGCCTCCCAGGAGTATTAGCAGGAAAGTGGATTGGAAGCAGGGTAGCAGGGACTCAAACTGGCATTCCTATATGTGATATGTGTGTCCCAAGCAGGGGCTTAAACTATACTACAAAAGCTGCCCTTAAATTTTAGTTCTTATAGTGAGTAGCAGACAAGTAGATCCCTAGTGTTTGTGAGGCCCAGGGCAAAAGAGCAAAGAATGCTCCCCCTGACACAAGTCTTTCACAATTATAAATCAAGCTAACACATTGTCAAAAGAAAACAAAACTTTCTATTGTCTTCCTTGAAAATGCACTTTATTTTTTTTTTCAAAGATTCATTTATTTATTTGAAGTGCAGACACACAAGATAGGAGACGGAGATAGGGAGAGATAGGGAGAGACGGGGAGAGAGAGAGAGAGAGAGAGAGAAATTCTCCTCCATCTGCTTGTTTACTCCCCAAATGGCCTCAATGACAGAGGCGAGGCCAGGTTGAAGCCAGGAGCCAGGAGCTTACTCCAGGTCTCCCACATGAGTGCAGGGGCTCAAGCACTTGGGCCATCCTCTGTTGCATTCCCAGACACATTAGCAGGGAGCTGGATGGGAAGAGGAGCAGCTGGAACTCCCACTGGCTCCCATATGGGATACTGGAGGCTTCACCCTGTCTGTCATAGCACGATCCCCCAAAAGGCACTCTCACATGGACCACAAGACCTGATTCTCACGATCAATTCTAATTCTTTGAATCTACACATGAAAGCTTAGTTACCCAGATATGGCTGCTGGACTTTAGACTGCTCCCTTCCTCTTTTGGATAGTTTGACAGTTCAGATCTGCTCTGCCCCCACATACGTGGATCCTCCAGGCGGAGTTTCAGATTTTATACACTATCAGCGATCACCGGTCCTTTTTGCTGCTCTTTACATGTACAGGTGGGTACACTAGGTGCAGCAGGCAGGTCACAGAGGGCCTTTGGTAGGCTAAGATCTATTTGGACAGAGAGTCTGAACTTTCAGGTGCCTGATGTGTGGTTAGGTCAAGAAGAACCATAGTAGCTCATGGTTGTGCAATGACACTTGGTCCCAAGGACAGAGAACCAGAGCCAAGCCTCCTAAACTGTGGGTCTAGGACAGGGGTCTCTCCTGCCCAGGTATAGAACCATACCCACAATGGTCAAAGATGTTGAATGCTACTGTCTGCGAAAGTGTGTTTGGAATCAAGTTACTGGGTGGGAGATAATGAAAGAATTCTTTTAAAATCACACACTTGGTTAGAAGAAAATAATCAACTCATGAAAAAAACTAACATGCGTGATTATCGAAGAATAAAAGCCAACAATAACACACAGAGAAGTTATCCTTACATTCATGAATGTGAGGACACAATATCATCTGGAGGTGAGATTACCTGCTCTACATTAAGTCATTTTACCTTTCAATTTCATTATCTGTAAAATTAAGCAGACAAAAATTTCTGCATGCTTCAGAAATATGGTGCTTAGAGAAAATAGTTTCTGGAAAAATGGAATAAAAAGAGAAGTTTCAGAGCTGGTGTTTTGCTAGCATTTAGGACTCCTGCATCCCACAGGACACAGCTCTGTCACCTGACTCCAGCTCCCTACTAATGCAAACCCTAGGAGGCAGCAGTGATGGATCAAGTAATCAAGTAATTGGATTCCTGTGGCCCTCAAAAAGGCCTGGACTGAATTCCAATCTCCAAGCCATGCACCAGCCTAGATTTAATCATTGTGAACATGTGAGGAGTGAACCAATGAATGGGAGGATTCCCTCTCTCTTCCCCTTCCCTCCCCTCCTCCACTCTTAAATAAATAAATAATTTGGAAAAAAAAAGTTTTTTAGGTGCAATTTTGAAATCTATGCATAGTTTTTTTTATTTTTAACTTTTATTAGTAAATATAAATTTCCAAAGTACAGTTTATGGATTACAATGGCTTCCCCCCGCCCATAATTTTCCTCCCACTCGCACCCCTCCCATCTCCCACTCCCTCTCCCATTCCATTCACATCAAGATTCTTTTTCAATTATCTTTATATATAGAAGATCAATTTAGTATATATTAAGTAAAGATTTCAACAGTTTGCACCCACACAGAACATAAAGTGTAAAATACTGTTTCAGTACTAGTTATGGCATTAATTCACATTGGACAGCACATTAAGGACAGAGATCCTACATGATGAGTAAGTACACAGTGACTCCTGTTGTTGACTTAACAATTTGACACTCTTGTTTATGGCCTCAGTAATCTCCCTAGGCTCTTGTCATGAGTTGCCAAGGCTATGGAGGCCTTTTGAGTTCTCCGACTCTGATCATATTTAGACAAGGTCGTAGTCAAAGTGCAAGTTCTCTCCTCCCTGAGAAAGGTACCTCCTTCTTTGATGGCCCCATTCTTTCCAATGGGATCTCACTCACAGAGATCTTTCATTTAGGTTTTTTTTTTTTTTTTTTTTTTGCCAGAGTGTCTTGACTTTCCATGCCTAAAATACTCTCATGGGCTCTTCAGCCATATCCGAATGCCTTAAGGGCTGATTCTGAGGCTAGAGTGCTGTTTAGGACATCTGCCATTCTATGAGTCTGCTCTGTATCCCACTTCCCATGTTGGATCGTTCTCTCCCTTTTTTATTCTATCAGTTAGTATTTGCAGACACTAGTCTTGTTTGTGTGATCCCTTTGACTCTTAGACCTATCAGTATGATCAATTGTGAACTGAAATTGATCACTTGGACTAGTGAGATGGTATTGGTACATGCCACCTTGATGGGATTGTATTGGAATCCCCTGGCACATTTTTAACTCCACCATCTGGGGCAAGTCCAATAGAGCATGTCCCAAATTGTACATCTCCTCCCTCTCTTAGGGATCATTTTTCAGTTAAATTTAAACACCTTAGAATAATTGTGTGTTAATTCAAGAGTTCAACCAATAGTGTTAACTAGAGCAAGAAAAAATACTAAAAGGGATAAAGTATTAAATTGTACATCAACAGTCAGGGCAAGGTCTGATCAAGTCACTGTTTCTCATAGTGTCCATTTCACTTCAACAGGTTTCCTTTTTGATGCTTGGTTAGTTGTCACCAATCAGGGAGAACATATGATATTTGTCCCTTTGGGACTGGCTTAATTCACTCAGCATGATGTTTTCCAGATTCCTCCATTTTGTTGCAAATGTAAAAAAATTGACACCCCATTGGCCCAACTAACTAAAAAAAAGAAGAGAAAAGACCCAAATCAATAAAATCAGAGATGAAAAAGGAAACATAACAACAGACACCACAGAAATAAAAAGAATCATCAGAAATTACTACAAGGACTTGTATGCCAGCAAACAGGGAAACCTATCAGAAATGGATAGATTCCTGGACACATGCAACCTACCTAAATTGAACCAGGAAGACATAGAAAACGTAAACAGACCCATAACTGAGACAGAAATTGAAACAGTAATAAAGGCCCTCCCAACAAAGAAAAGCCCAGGACCAGATGGATTCACTGCTGAATTCTACCAGACATTTAAAGAAGAACTAACTCCAATTCTTCTCAAACTATTCAGAACAATCGAAAAAGAGGGAATCCTCCCAAATTTTTTCTATGAAGCCAGCATCACCTTAATTCCCAAGCCAGAAAAAGATGCAGCATTGAAAGAGAATTACAGACCAATATCCCTGATGAACACAGATGCAAAAATCCTCAATAAAATTCTGGCCAATAGAATGCAACAACACATCAGAAAGATCATCCACCCAGACCAAGTGGGATTTATCCCTGGCATGCAGGGATGGTTCAATGTGCGCAAAACAATCAATGTGATACACCACATTAACAGACTGCAGAAGAAAAACCATATGATTATCTCAATAGACGCAATCAGGTATTGTATTATGTAGTCTTTCACTAACAGGAGTATGGCTGGGGCCATCCCAAACATTAAGTCAAATAAGAGACTATCAAAAACTTATTGCAGTGATAAACAACAAATTGGTCAGTAACTGCACATAATATGACTTAATATACTTAGTAAATCAAAAGCTTTATTGTATTTCTAATAATCCTGAGTAAATCCAAATAGATGTGTGTATATACATATATACACATACACATGTACTTTATCTATATACTCACTTAAATGGTATAATTTATGTTTTACTTATATGCATTTACATATAATTGCAGAATTTTAACAGAATCAAATCAAAAGTAGTAAGACATTAAAAATATATATGCATTAATAGTTACAACATATAACATGTATTTTTATGAGAATCAAATTAAGGTAACAAATGAGATGGAAAATCATCATAAACCTTTGAGCAACAAATCAACAATTGTTAAATGAGCATATTAATTATCAAATCAGTAGTTACTAAATATTCATTGTGTGGTTTTTATATTTCCTATTCTTGTTTCATAACAGCGCCAGCAGACATTTCCATGTAAGAGTATGTGACTCATACCTTTTCGTGGACTTTCTGGCCCGGTTCCATCCCTTCCAGATGTTCTGACTCTGTGGATCCCTCACTTGATGCCATTTTTCTTTGAATATGAACATTTTGTTCACGCAAGGCAACAATCTGTAAAATAAAAGCAGTATGCTTTTACAATCTAGGTTTTGCATAAAGTAAAAAAATTAAAGTTACTTGAATGTGGTTAATAACTAATGAATATTGACAAATGGTCAGAAAGTGAACATTAAGTTTTAATCATGTTATTGTTTCAAAAATATTTTTAAAATTTAGGTTAGCCTTCTGAATAATATTTATAATAATATTTTTAGAATATCTTTTCTAAGAAGAGGTTAAGACACTGGAATTTGTCTAACAAAATATTTTCAAATTGGAAAATAGATAGCTAGTTGGAAATGTGTCTCAATTGTTGATATAATGTATATATGATTAATTCAGAAATTGATTAAGTTATGGAATGTGATAAAAATTCTGATTGGTCTACCCTTTTAAAGTATACAAGAAACATAAATGAAAAGATTACAGACTGAAGACTAATTAGGACAACAATCCTAGCATTTTAAAATAAACAAATACATAAACTGGACTTTAATGTTGTAAAGCTGTTATGAGTACTTAGAACTAAATTTGTCACATGTTAATGGCCATTGTTTTAGCATATCTAATCCAAATTAAAATAATTTGCAAAAGATCAGAAGGCAATTAATGCATGAAAATTATCAGCTTTAGTAATATTCAGGATGGAGAAAAGGATTCCAAACTTTAAAAAATTTTGTTTTTAAAATATTTGCTATTTATTGATATCAGTTTAAAAATATTTGACATTATAATAGTGTCATAACATTGATTGATTTTATTGTATTATCAATTCAGAAATTAGTGCTATTTCTAGGAGAAGTCAACATCCACAGTTATTTAATATAGAAAAATGTTGAGTCATAAAAATTACATATTGGAATTATGAGGACCTATATGTCACACACACTAATAAACTCCAAATTTTTTAAAAAAGACATCAGCCAGTGGATGTTCATTCTCCCGCCTGCCATTGCTTCGGTGCCCAGGTCTATGGTATTGTGTCTGTGAATCAGGTGATCTTGCTTATGATCTCCTGCATGTGGACACGGGGTGCCTCATTTTGTAAGGGTAGAACACATAATGGCAACTACATGAAGCTTCTCTCTCTTGCTGCACTGCCACCACCGACTAATTGGCTTCCTCATTTTCTCTTTTGTCTATCTACAATCTTACCCACAGAGCAGCCAGATTCATCTCTTCAATTTAAACTATATTTTCACCCCTTAGCTTTTCAAAATAATTCAATGTTTTCTCAATGTAGCTGGCACAAACTTAAACTTTTTCACAGGTCTATAGTGTCCTTCAGGACTGCTTAGCTTCAGCCACACTGGCCTTCTTCCTACTCCCCAGTCACACTTGGCGATTTCTTACCCAGAGCTGAGGCAACTGATGATTGTCCCACAGCACACATTCTTCCCCAGTTAACACCACGGACCCAGCCCGAGCTTTCAATACTTGGCTGCTATCCCCTGCTCAGAGAAGGTGCGCTTTTCACTACCACTTTTACAATGTATCATTGTGCGTTTTTGTGTTTGTAACCTCATGAAAATCAAACATTTTATTCTTTTATTTGTTTATTCACTTTGCTTGTTTATTTAGGTAGCAGACATCCTAATTATATCTCATGGGAAAATGATTTTCAGAAGAATGTTTAATTGAAAACAACATTTTCATACAAAGGAGAACATCAAGTTGCCATGTGCAGCATATTCAATAAAAATGTGCTGAATTAAATAATGAATGGATATGAAAAAACAAGGTGTGTAAACCTAATTAATCCAGAAATCAGACAGGATAAAGATTTGGAGTGCATGAGGAACTTCAGAGACCTTCCTGTCACATTAGTTAACATAGAAATTGGTCGCATCAAAGGAATGACAAGAAGAGTGTAATAGCTCTTGGAAATACCATTTTTATATTAGATTCTTAATATGTTTTATATAAAATATTACATCAGCACTGGTACCTGGTGAAGCTTTATTTTGAATTTATTATGAATTTTTAAGAATTGGAACATTATAGGCTAACAATCCACCAAGATAACCATCAAGAATTAACAAACATGCTTAGAAAATATTAGGATATTACAAAATTCTATGCATTTTTAATATTATTTCATCTATTTAGAAGTGAAGGAAGGATATTTAAAAATAGAAATAAATTTAAATCTTGGCTTATTTAGAAAGTCAGGTAAATTTCAAATGTAGCCTTGTGCCTAAAATAAACCAGGCTGTCTATAAACGGTTACTGAGAGAATCTGTGAAAAAAATCAAATGACCTTATTAAGAAAACTTCAAAACATCAATTCACTTGGAAAGCACTTTGCATCAATATGGTTGTGACACTATGATAAAAAGATTTTAAACCTCAAACTTCTCTCAAAGTATATACCAATTAGTTCCAAGGAAGAATATAATTTTCAGCTAACATGCAAATACTGTATGGTTTTACTTAAATAAATCAAGTCCAAAAATTAGGTCTTGTAATAGAATAGACAGATATTCTCTATCACTCTGATACTTAGTTCTGTTCAACTTTTCCTAATAACAAAGTATGCTGGGTAGTTATGAAAACAAACCTTTAGCACCTGATTCCATTGTAGATGTTAATAAGCTGAGGACTCTTTTCACAATGAGCAAAGTGGGTAAGTCAGCTCCCCTGCCCCTCCGCCCCGCCCTAGGAATTCAACCTCGAGGACGGGGTCATCTCCTTAATGTGTCCTAAGGAGTGAGAAGATCTCCCAGAAGTCACTGGAGCTGCAGGTCACACAGGCTCTTTGGAAAATTCTCCCTGCTTTCTTGAGAAGTAGACACAGGAGAAGGCTAGAGGACCTCCATGGGAGAGGAAGTATAAGGAAAAGCACTTAAAGATCTCAAAACATTCTCTGGGCTCTCATTGATGGTGACGGCATCAGACAGAGGCCCAAGAGACCCATCTGAAGAATGCTGGTGAACGCCTGGATTCTGGGCTGGCATTGTGGTGTAGCAGGGAAAGCTGCCACCTGAGACACCAGCATCACATATGGGCACCAGTTCAAGTCCCGGCTGCTCCACTTCTGATCCAGGTCCCTGCTGATGGCCTGTGGGAAGCTGTGAAAGATGGGCCAAGTGTGTGGGCCCCTGCCACCCTGGGAGACCCAGGAGAGGTTTTCTGTGGCCATATGGGGAGTGAACCTGCAGATAGAAGATTTTCGTCTCTGTTTCTCTCTATATATAACTGACTTTCAATACAAATAAATAGATAAATAAATCCTTAAAAAAAAGTCTGGATTCCTTCCAGCTAACACAGGGTCTACTCCAAATAGGATATTAGAATGGGAGGAGCTACTTCTGATTAAACCGTGCTATTTATCCAGCTACATTACTGACATAGAGCATTGCTATGTGCAAGCACTGTGCTCAGCCATTTTTATCTGCAATAGAGGTGTTATGATAACTCACATTTAACAAATGAGTAAACTGAGATGGATTTATGAGCAGAACTGTCACAGTTTGTATGTACATGTTCCCCTAAAATTCGTATGTTGGAATCTAAGAGATAGGAGTCTTTAATCATAATAGCTCTGCCCTCATGAATGGGATGCGTTCCTTTAGAAAAGGGCTTCAGGGAACTACAAGGGTGCTGTTGTCCTATTCCTTCCACCATGTGAGCCCAAAGCATTCAAGGAATATCCTGCAGGAGACACTGGGCCCACACCTCCACCCAGCCTTGGAACGACCAGCCTCCAGAGCTGTGCGAAATAAATTTCTGTTGTTTTTAAGTTACCCAGTCTCAAATGTTCTGTTGCAATAGCACAAATGGAGTAAAATAAGAATCATAAAGGATTAAATAAAAGTTAGTTCCATATCTCCAAGTGTTCTGCTCTGTAACATTGCCTCCTTGTATTTGAGCTCCATTAAGTCAGGGGAATTTAATAGTGGGTTGGAATGGGGCAGAGCAACATGTCCTCTCCCACTATTGATACCCTTCCTCCTTGGAATCCTCTGTATATCATGGAGGCTGGATCCCATTCCTGCACAGGTTCACATACAGGCAGTTTTGCATACAGTTTCAGGTTATTTTTAACCCACAGAAGGCCCATGCAACTCTGATCAACAGAACCATTTCAACTGATCAAGCGTATTTATCAATTGCTGACTAATATTTGCTTTTATATGTCTGGCATCCCTTCACACTTCTTTTGATAACATCATCTTTCATTTTCATTAGAGAATTTTCCTCTTCTTCAAATATATTTACATATATTTATTTAAAAGGCAGAGAGAGAGAGAGAATGAATCTCACCAATATTCCACCCCGGAGTTTACTCCAGGGCTGGTCCAAGCCAAAGTGGGGAGCCTGGAACTTCATCTGGGTCTCTCATATGAATGTCAGAGACCCAAGTACTTGGGCCATTATCTACTGCCTTCCCAGGCACACTACAAGGAAGCTGGACTGGAGGCAGAGACTCAAACTAGCACTCCAGAATGAGAGGCAGGTGTCACAAGCAAGGGCTGAATCTGCTGTGGCACAATGCCCGTCCTGGGCAAGTTTTCTATTTTACTTTAATTGCAGAGTTGTTGATCACGGAGCCAAGAATCCATGTCAAGGAGGTGGACACGTGATCCAAGCCAGAGCAATCAGGTCATTCCTTCAGATGTTTCTGCCTGAACTTGTGGGAGATTCTCTTTTTCACTAAGAAAGTAAGTTGAAAAGGTACATAACTGGGATGCTACCTGCCACGTTTCCACTCGGGGACAGAACAGGTAGAAGTGTTGGACCTCTGATGAATCACTGCTGCTCCAGATTCTGGATTTGCTGAGTCATTCCTATTCCTGGGATTTTAATAATATGACTCTGAAACTGCTCTGTGTGCTCACACTGTTTAGGTTGGTTCTCTGTCATTTGCAACGACAAACGTCTTTGAGAATGTGGCAGGGAACCTGGAAGGCAGCACAGACGATGCACTATCTAAATGTGGATTTTGCAGAATGACTAACAATTGAACCAGGGAGACAACAACGCCAGCTGACTTTTTTTAAGCAGACATG